CTTGCCGACTGGCGTGGGCAACCATGGACCTCCATTTCACTCTGTCTTGTGTTGCAGCAATTGTGTCTGTTGTTCTTGCTGCTCCCAGCCATGTTTTCAACGTGTTCAGTATCTTTTCCCTCTCCCTCTGTCTGCTTTTGCTTCTTGTTCCATTAAACTTGCCTGTTGTTACAATTTTCTCCAATGCTTCTTTCCGCATTGTGTGTCCAATGAAATTTCCCTCTCGCTTTCGTATATTCGTCATAAGCTGTCGTCTGCAATTTGCTTCAACCAAGACTTCTACATTTGTTTTTCTGGCTATCCATTGGATACGCCGCATGCGTCTTATGAACCACAACTCTGTCGCCTCAATTGTTCTTTCCAGCTGACTATTGATTGTCCTTACGCTTTATCTTTCACATGGGTAGTATCAATTACTTTGAAAAGTAGGTAATGTTTTTCCCAAGAACATCATGAAACATATACATGTATATATATACTGGCGATCAAAAGGAAGGTACCACTTTTTAACTGTGTATAAAATCAAAACTTTAGAGTCTGTACGCTTTATCTTTCAAATGTGTAATATCAATTACTTTGAGAAGTAAGTAATGCTTTTAAAAAACCCCAACATGTTAGTGCTTCAACTTCAATTAGCGTTCACAGCATTCACAGAATCAATGTGAAAACCCCCCAGAAAATTCAGATTTTTCCCCAACCGGGAGGCGGGTTTTTCATATTCTTTGATATTTATGGAGTTAAGGTCTGTGTTTGCTTAAAACCGCATCAACATTTATTTCATCATGGCCTCTCACAAGAGACGGCACTTTTAACTCAAGATCAGAGAAATCAAGCTCTTGGCATGCTCCGTGCACTGCTGTTACGAGGACATTTAATGTCAGCAGAAGGACCATCAGCCAACTGAGACAACGGTACCTTGTGACTTGGCCTATTCAAAACCGACCCAGAACTGGCGGTCCAAAGATAACTATTCCATTATTTAAGACCGATATATAAAGACAGTGCACCTGAGAAACTGTTTCAGGACAATTGCTCAAACTGCAAGACGACCTCTTGGACTCTTACTCGTCAGCTGGCATACTGTTCGTGGTAGACTGGGAATTCAAGATAGAAACTAAGATGCCTACATACAGACAGCATGTACAACCAAAACATCTTCGGGCTAGGATGAATTGGCCATTGCTGCACCGCAGATGGACTTAAGAGCTGTGGGACGATTCTCAATTCCAAGTTGAATGCCACAATGGGGGTGCAAAGGTGTACAACAGACTACATTGTCAAGAGCCCTATCTGCCATTTTTTTTCAACAACACAGTCAGCCCATAAGCTCTAACAGGACAATGCACCCGCATATTGTGCACTCCTCTCGGAATTAAATCTTTAAAATCCAGAATAATGTCGCTGCAATTGATCTACGGCCTGCCATTTCACCAGGTTCTAACCCAGTTGAGCACCCGTGGAAAAGGATTAACTGTGTTGCTCCTGACTTAAACCCCAGTCTCAGAACCATTTTATAGCTGCAGCAAGTCCTTATCAATGAAACATCACTTTGCAGGAAAACTTTTCGTACTCCATGTGCAGGAGATACACTGATGTGTTGAATGCACATCGAGATCAAACGACGTATTGAGGTGTGACTTTTGGATTTGATCCCATTTGTCAAATTTCAGTCATAAAAGAACTGTTTTTGGTGAAAAAAAACACTTTCACATTGATTTATCTGTTGAATACTTCATACTTCAATTTCACAGCCGAAAGTCGAAATAATCATTATTTTTCAATAGGAAGAGCGAACCGATCATATCGGGTTGTTGTTGTTGTTTTTTTTTTTTTA